TTTTTTTTGATAGTTAAACAACGGTTGATTATACATTCTTGCTCAAAAATTCTAATAACTACCTAATAATAAATATCCTTCAATCTTTTTGTTTCATTTTTCTAATASCACGACAAAGCTATCCCATTCATCKGAAGCAAATCTGATCCAGAATTATGAAGGCAACAGCAATTCTCATTTGTAGCATCCTTCTTGTCGCAACAGCAATGGGTAAGTTTGTGCTGAATCAATGAATTATAGCCTTTGTGGGTCGGTATTTGACCACTTTATTTAAAGCTCAGCAGAGTTGTCAAAACGGGGAAGAGGATTTGACTCGCAACTAAGAAGCTAAGCGCCTTGTCGTTTCCTACGCTTCTTTTGTGTCCTCTCAGCATCCCGAGTATTCAGATCATCTTCAGGGAGTATCTAAATTGGAAAACTGTTAATATTTTTTTTTAATGTACTTACAAACTTTTTTTCTTCGTAAATGTAGCCGGTTAAGTTTGAACTTGAAAACCATTTACTTTAGTTTCTCGGTTTCCGATATTAGAGCAATAGTAAGAGCAGTCGTTACTATTAAGAATCTTATAACCTCACGCGACGCAAACGTTTTCTTCAGCCCTGTCATTGAAACAAATGTATCTTTCCCATCAGAAGCTAAGTGACACGTGGTCCGAACTGAAAAGATTTTACAGCCAAGCTGAAAAGACTTACACATAGATATAGTTAATATTTTTGATATTAAAACCTCATCGATGCAAACGTTTTCAGCCCTACCATAGAAACAGATGTATTTTTACCATCAGAAGTGACACGTGGTCTGCGTTTGTCGAAAAGATGTATTTATCCCATCAGAGGCTAAGTGAAACGTGGTCCGAACTGAAAAGATTTTACAGCCAAGCTGAAAGGTTTACACTTACATATTTTTATTTTATTTCTGTAGTGAGCCAAGCAGATCCAGACCCTGCACCTGGAATGGGTAGGCATCTTGGTTTGTCTATCATTCACAACTTCCATACATTACGTCACTGGTTAAACAATGCAAACTGCATTCAAATGAGGCTAAAAAGTTCAAATTTGAAAAATCCTAACTACCTTACAGCCTCTATTGAATGCTTTGTATTTGACCTGTGAAGTGATGCATGGAAGTTGTGAATTACAGATAAACCAGGAAACGAGAGATTTCTCATTACCCCCCATTGTTAACGGTACCAAGATGGCCGCCATGTTTTTGTATATATTTTTACTTTCTTTAATTAGGAATACTTGCAACCCTAGAATACTATGCCATATTCTTCTCCAGGAGCTATCAGGGTTGATTGGCATTGGGCAAAAAGATATGATTCACACTGGGCTTTAATTTGAAGGAGAAGAGAATCCTATGTTTTGGACTGGTTCTGCTTTTGAATGCACACGCTCAAACGCTACCGCTTGAAAAAGTTGCCATGAAACAAAGGCATCCCAAAATAATATTTTTAGTAGACGTCTAGCAGGTCTAGCAATACTTGCAAGATGCACATAGGCAAACAAATATATATGTATTAATACTTATCCTATATGATTGTAGTTCCTGGAGGAACATGTGGACGAGAAGACGAAGGCAAAAAGTTGATCGAAGGCAGGCACGGATGTGGTAGCTGCTTGTGCCAGGGTGGTCTAGTGTATTGCTCTAAATGCTAGTCAACAAAACTGTCTGTCTGTCCAGAAAAAGGTATTAATTTTGAATGTCATATTTTTTTGTCGAGAGAGGGAGAAATATCATCCATTAATTTTTAGACGAAAAGCGCCTATAATTTGAACTGCCCTTTCGTACTTTATACTTAAATTTGTCGACGCCATCAATGCTTGTTTTGAGCTCACTAAGACTAATGTCAAGCGTTGAGCTTTACATGAGCCGAACTAAATTGCATAAAAGACGACAGTAGTCTCCTCCGCAGGCTACTCCATGTATTCTATATGCTCTTTTGGGATCCCTGTATTAAATTTTATGCCAGAGAAGAACTGGAACGAGAGAGGAGGAGGAGGAGGCTAAGACGACAGCAGGTCATTCAATATTTTTAAAACAATTTTAGCGGATGTTAAAGCAAAATCAATTATTTATTTTTCAGATTGTTGGAAAAGACAGATGAAAGACTGATGAAAAAAAAAAACAAATAAGACGAAGACTTAATATTATTTTGGTTTTAATTCTTAAGAATCTATCCCCTTGATTGATCATGATTGGTTATTGTTTGATTTTAAAATAATAATAAACGTAAAGCATATTGGACTTGTAAAGAATTCATAGAAAATGCTAAATGCTATTGTATCTAAACCCTTCTCAGCTTGGGAATTCGATTTTTCGCTGAGAGGATTCTTGGTACAACAATGCACTAAATGCCCCAATTATAAATTTGTTTTGTTTCTAATGATGATGTTCTAGCTTCGGAAATTCTTTCTAGCTTTCGCCTCATGTGGGAGCTTCTTCGGTTTCTTTTTCTCAGTTCTGAAGAAAGAAATATTTAAAGATTAGAAAGGCAAAGAACATGGCCACCATGTTAAACAAAATTAAAAAGGCCGCCATAACAAAAGATGTGCAGTGGTCACCATGTTGGATGATATAACAAAAGACATGGCCACCATGTTGGATGATATAACAAAAGACATGGCCACCATGCTGGATGATATAACAAAAGACATGGCCACCATGTTGGATGATGTAACAAAAGACATAAGTCTATTATGCTGAATAATATGTGCAAAGAAGTAACGCTTCTTTTCTTTCATTGCCTAACATATGAAAGAATTTGATGCATATGTCTCTCGATCTCCAAGGAAGAATTTCGAGGAAATAGAAGACATTTTTGGTTTAGGCTTATTGCTTTCGCGTTCCAGAACACGTGTCATTTCTTCGAGCATCATTTCTTCGGTGGCGCATAAAAAGACACATGAATTCGAATGTGGATACATCTCAAACAAAGCATCTCTTACTCAAGAGAATGGCACTAGTGTGAAATGGACAACAATATACTTCCAAGCCAAAAAGGTTTATTAATGTTTACACGGGTTATTTACGGATCCATACCTTTGTTATTGGCAGCTGAAGCAGTCCYCTGTTGATGGGATCCCTTAGTCTCGATCACTATCCAGTTTGGTGAATAGGGAGGCGTAGCCCATGTCCCACGCCCTGCTBGGCCACTCGGTCGCCGTTTGATAACATACGCTCTTRAAGAATCGAAATCGTGGACACTCACCGTCGAAGGAACCTTAAAAACAACTCTACTACTCTTCCTAGGCCTTGAAGMATCCTCTGTTTCTTCAAATTTATCTTCTATGTTCAGCTTCTTAAATAGCTCATTTGCTTCGTCTTCGTTAAGTTCTGTAACATCATGGCCCGACCTCCTCCTCGAAAGAATCTTTCTCACATACTCTTCTTCGTCTGCCGATTCTGACGCCAAACCCCAGAATTTGTCCTTTGCTTTTTGRTCCGTCTTGCACTCCGAACAGATATTCAAGTCTCCTAAATTCCCCTTCCAAAACGGCTCGATAATTTCACTGTCATCATTGCTTTCATGAGTCGCGCTTCTTGCTATTTTAGATCTATAAATCGCGCTCTCGGTGTTATGAACCTCACATTCTGCTTTTTTTGCATCCAAAATTGTCCCGACTACGCTTTCTCGAGCCGCGCTCAGGCGAGTTTGCTTCTCTGCCAGAAAATCTTCCAATTTAGCAATCCTGTTGGAAAGTCGTTTGTCTAATGTTACAGAAGATGCTTTGGGTAATATTGCGGTTGTTGTTGCTTGGTTACGCTCTGTTATCTTGRTAACACTCGGATGAAATGTTAAGGATTTTTGGCGTTTTTCAAATGTCTCTTCAGCGTCACTTAGAAGTTCTTGTCGTCTTTTTTTAAGTCGGTCCCAAAACATAGGGTCCARTGGACCTATGTGAAAAATAGGAAAATCTTTGTTTGCCGCTTTCCTCATTAATATCGCATTGAAATAAAATGAATTATACTGTRGACCGCATACAACAGCCTAACCGAGACCACTGGAACAAACTTTAGAATAAAAAGCTTTAGYCAATCAGAAGAGAGCAAAACCAGTATCACAATCTCTTATTTCCACAGTTGTCGATACCATCTGCTTGCTCCTTAATGGTTCAAGTTTGACTTAAGTTGACTCGTTTTCTGTTTTCACTCTATGTCGTGAATGGATAACATATTCTTCAAGTGGTCCAAGTTTTGTTCGCACAGTAATAAAATAATGATAAAAGAACAATAACAAAATAATGCTTAAAATTTTACCGAACTCTGAAATATCCTTTGGCCTGATCAAACTCACGCCACGACTGACAAATCGAACCTAGAAACGACCTCTGGGCTCATTAAGAAGGAAGGGCATGGCTAGCAGATTAAATTATTCCTGAAACCACCTCCCGGTTGATCGAAGTTATAAGCCGTCCTGAGATTGAGGGAAAAAACTGGGTCGAGTTGATATTGCAGTGMACTGTGGGGCTGTTTTAGGGGACGAGAAAATAGACGCCATCTTGGAAATATCCCCTAAATCAGCCCCAAATCGCACTGCAATTATTGCATCTCGACTCGGTTTTTCCCTCAACCTCGGAACGACTYATACGTAGCATATTACCTCGATAAAATTCTTAATCTATTGTGACAGCGTTGAGTGATTATATTTGCACCGTTTGKGTTTTGCTCTTAAGTGCCTACCTCCGTCAGATGTTTCAGATTCTTTCTCCACAACGTACGGCCTCCTTGGTAGCTTTCTTCCTTCAACTTTATCAATTCTTTTCCGTAAATATTTTACGTTTTCTTTGATGTCTTTCACATCGCGAACAAGCCGTTTTAGTGCTACAATTCCTGCGTGGGTGCTCAATCCATCAAGTAGATTCTGGAGGATTTTATTTTCGTCTTCAGTTGATCTCTTTTGTCTTTCTCTATCAGAAAGGAAGGATTTGACATCTCGTAACGTACCAAGTAAGAGGAGATTCTCCTCTTCTGAATTACTTTTCTGTAAGTCTTTGTACAAAGAGACGATAGATTGAAATTTAAAGCAAAYTTGTTCAGCTCGACTACAAACCTTTTTGGTATCGTCCATCTGAGAGCAGTACTATAGCGACCGAGGGTGGCTATATTTGCCCGCAATAGTTATTCTATATTCAATTATGATGATCATGATTCTGATTAATCTACGTGRACAATGCGTATTAGTTCTGAGTCGCGCGCGCTCTGTGCTTAGCGGCGTGATTTTAAACTGATCATGCATAGAGATTGGTGCTTGTTTGGTGATTTCGAAGTTCCTGTTGTTTCATTTATTGAACGAGAGGCGACAATGATACAACCTTAGTCTGAGATTGAATATCTCATATCCCCCCTCCCCTCCCCCCTAAAACATATCAAAACAGTGTGTCCATAAATTATRATTTTACGGGGTTGGAAATTGGCCATGGTACAATAACTCGAATGGCTATTGTACACAGCACCAGAAATCCGAACAATACGCAAAAGTTGGCATGGGCTGCAGTAGCCTGGAAATGAGGCCTGGGGCACCGTCAAAACAACTAAACGCGCTGTGATTGGCGGAAACAAGTTTTACCGCTCAGTCGGTAGGCTGTCTTCTTCAGGCTTTGTTCAAAATTTAGATCCACGATTTTTTCAAGTCGCCRCTTGCTGGAACTAGAAACGGGCTTCCTTTAATTTGCTCGCCTTYGACTTTTACGGTAATCGTAAGGCTTCCCCTCTGCATTGGATTATAAGTCACCTCATATGTCCCGCCATGCTTAGCAACAATAGAATCTACATTCACTCTTCTACCATCTTGAGTCATAATGTCGACAATTACATCCCCATCAGGTCTCTCGAGTTGTTTCCCACGTTGATCCATGAGAAAAACCGTGAATTTATTTGGTTCGGTTGCTAAGGCAGCCTTSACTCCAACTCCACGTGCTATGCATTCTTTCGGGCACGCGTAAGTCGTGTCAAGTCTGCCAAACGTTTCGATTGCTCGGTGCAGGAGTGAATCATCGCAGTGTAATTCTAAAAAGCTATCTTCCACTGGCTCTAAATATTCAGACTTTTTATCCATAAATTCCTTTAGTCTTGAAGTTAAAAGGTTCTTCAAGACAAGCGCTGTGGCGTCGTTATGGTTACCACTCGTYGTCATGGTGATTTCGGTGAATTTACACGCTTGTTGTAGCTTTGTCAAAGAGGATTTTAATTTTTCCTGCTGTTCTTTCAGACCCTGTAGTTTTGATTTACGAATTTCTTGCACCTGTGAACGTAACTCTTTCTTCCTTTTCAATAAAGTAGTAATTTGGTAATCAATAATAACATCGATATCACACAAAATATTTTTYGCTTTAGAGTTCACATTGGATGCCACTAAATCAAGCTGGGGTACCRTTTTTTCCATTGCTTTGAGGAATTCCTTCGCATTTTGTAGGATAYATTTTATCTCTGTGTTGTATTTTTGAATGGCTTCGTCCAACGAGATGTGAATATGATTATTTTGGTTTTCTAAAGAGCAACAATGTTTACAAACTGTTTTATCGCACGTTTCACAGAAAAACCTCAGTATTTCGCCTCCATGCTCACGACAAAATAGAGGCCGCCTAAGATCCTTTAGAGGGTACTTTCTCAATTGATCCAAATCCAACATCGTATGCCCCTTAAAATTTCTCGCCRTTTTATGCGCACTGGAATGCAAAGAGCAGAAATACTGTGCGCATTCCTTGCAGCGACAAACCGCATTTGAGCGTTCACTTTCRTCGCAGACGTCACAGTGTACCATTTTCCCGCCATGTAAAGTGACCATGTCCATAATGCTCAAAAGAAGACTGTCTATTGGTAGCTTATCGATGTCCGACAATGAACGAATCTCATTGGRTATCTCCTTACATACGGGACACTGGTAATGCCCGTTCAAATGTYTTTCGATGCAGGCTTTGCATATTGAATGAAGACAGGGTAAGATTCGTGGATCTTTGACAGCTTTGCTACAAGCAGGACAGAACAGACTCACGCCGACAGTTTTGTCACTACCAGTAGCCATTACATTTTAGTACAAAATATGCGGTAATTCTGGAATAAAACAAAAATAATTCAACTTACGTAGATACAGCTAGCTAGAGCAGTTTTCGTATGACTGTGAAAAGCTCAGTGCCGTAAGCGTGACGTGCCGTGACCGTGATGCTTTCTAGAATTTTAATTGGCTGATTTTTTTCACGCGCAATGTGATTGGTCTGRCATTGCCGTGACCTTGGCGTGACCGTGTCCGCGCCGTGTTTATGCCATGTTCCGGGTATTTGATTGGAGTGAGAGTAAATTCTCGTGCAATTTGATTGGTCTGGCGTATCCCTTGCCGTGTCATGACCGTGTTCGTGCCGTGAAATTTTCACAGTCATACGAAAACTGCACTATTTTAAAACATTTGAAAGGTTCGGGTGAGGGTTATGTTGCATGTTACTTACAAAGCTTGAAATGCATCATTTTATGTAAATATTCTCAACACAGAAGAAATTATGCCGAAAAAGCTACGTGCAGACAAATGCAAAGAGTTTTGGGAAACTTGGGGCCATCGTTTGATAACATATGTTTTAGGTCGCAGAATGTAGTTCAATGACAAAYGGACAACGGGTCAGCCATTTCCATTGTCATTTCTGATGTAACAATGTCCTTTGTACAATTCCCCGTATCCCGCCAATATTTTTTTATAAACGACAAATCCACCTAAATTAGATAAAAATGACAACAAACAGCCTCGCAAACCAAAACTAAGGAATTTCTTGAAGCATTTGAAACAATATTCATCAATGAAAGGCTTCGGCAATTAACTTCACAAACGACGTACAGACGTGCTAAGCCTCGTAATTCAAACCTTTTCAATGCTTTTTGAGCCCAAACTTCGAAAATATGAGACAACAACCTTAGAAATAACTTACAGCAATAAGCGTTTCTGGTTTTCAGATATTCGTACAAGTCTATGGATAATTATGCAAGCTAATGCAAGGAAGGAAGTAGCAAAATAACGTCATATTTCGTGACAAATGGAAGTAAACTAAATCAATAAATGGATTTTCACTCAACAAAAGAATTTAAAGCCATTTAATTACAATAGGTTTTGAAGTAATTTTCTACTCCTTTTTAAAATGAAAAAGTCATGGCTAATTTTATTGTCGACTCACATTCTTGAATTAATCAAGTAAAGTCTTCAAGAATTCGTGCCCAACATTTATACAAAGAACAAATATTTTTGACAACTTACTCAATCATTCAAACAGTAATAAACTGTGTTTCCAAAATCTTTCACCTTCAATTAACTTCTCGTTTACCAGAATTTAAGTCTGTTTTAAAATCGAACTAAACAAATTACTCAAATTTAATTGAATTCAATAAACGAAGAAAGTCACGAATTGCTACTAGGCTAGATGTAATATATTTTGGTACATATTGATTTATAGTTTTTTTGCAAATCGTCGAGACGAAGACTGTATTCTCAAATTTTTCGCAAGCGGACAAAATTTATGCAGTTTCTTATTCACAAACATGCAATTTATACATAAAGTATAACATTAATATATTTTGACTTTTAGTAACGCTTTTAGAATAAAAAAAACTGTTGTCGTGTGCTTTGTATTTGAGCTATGTTGGTTATTGAATTAGTATACACTGTAAAGCATTGAARCCGTCGTACAAAATATGGTCTAAGATTAAGAGGAATGCACTAACTTTTTACCTTAAATTTGAATAGCTATCCAACTTTGTAAAAGTTTCGTCCGAAGTTGTTGTAATATGAAAATATCTGACTTACTATGCTTTCTTTTAAAGAATCCTAGCGAAGGATATAAACGACTTTCTTTTACAACTGGCTGTTTTAACTCAGCAACATACGAACGCATGACCTTTCTTAAGTCTGATAGCATAAGTCACTAGATGTCAGAATAACAAACACATTTGAAAAGCCTTTTCACTATATTTGACAAGTTCTTTATTTTTTTCTCTCTCAGGAGATAGACAGTGAGAAATCAAAGTTACCATTAATTAATTGGATGTCAATCAAAGATAAAATTGATTTCTGAGCTGATTATTTTTAAAAAGTTGTTAATAATCAATCAATTGGGAAATACGTCACTGATCAGTAATGATACTACATTTGCTGGTCTGAAGCACAAGTATCAGTGAAGGTCGTTATAGAGAAGACTTTATAGGACTGGAACAGAAAATAGAGCCGAGCTCACTAGCTGATTTGCTGGTCTGAAAACACACGTATTAGTGAAGGTCGTTATAGAGAAGACTTTGTAGGACTGGAACAGAAAATAGAGCCGAGCTCACTAGCTGATTTGCTGGTCTGAAAACACACGTATCAGTGAAGATCGTTATAGAGAAGACTTTATAGGACTGGAACAGAAAATAGAGCCGAGCTCACTAGCTGATTTTGGACAGTTTTTATTTCCATATATGGGTGGGTTCGTGACTTGCAGCACGTATACGGTATGGTATGCTTGCGTTCATTGCATGAGTCGATCACAAACTTATTCATTGTCTCACACATTTGGSCATCAGCTGAAACTTTCGTTCTGCAATCAATTTTGAAAGGCTTGTGGATCGATAACATCACAATTTAAAKAACAACATTCATAACTCTTTTTGCAGACATGAGAACTTTTTCATAGATGCAATAGGAAGAAGACCTCCTCATCTAGTTTTCTCACCTTGTGAGTCTGCGACTGTGAGTCCTCCGTTCAGACACTTACGTACTGACAGTTGCAAGTGAAAATAAGTTTATGTATAATCATCAGAACTTGCATAGTCATTACATTGGCAGTSAATTTGAAAAACCTACAGTGCATCTTCACTCTCATC